CACTGTGTTTTAGCGCTAGCTGCTTCGGCCTACGTTCTAATGAGGTATTAGCGAATGAACCTCCATAATAGCAGATGTGCTCGCGGGCAGGACGCACAGATATGTTGACAGGCACTAGGAGAGGATTCTTAATGAGCTCAGACTGGCGATTTCATAATTTAGAGCAGATATGGAGTCGGGGGGGGAAAAAAAATCCAGTCATTAGGCGCAGGAACCTGAAAAAGCCTGTGATAAGTGGACTCACCTTAACTAACTGCAGCTTCATTTACAGGTCTGTGTGGAGCTGAGTGTTACTTTCCACTGAACTAATATGTATTCTGACACCCCCTCCAGGAGTTTCACTCACTTTTTAATGCAGTGCAAGTTCAACTACATCCATCCTGGACTTCTCTCTCTCTCACTCTCTCTCTCTCTCCCACACCCCACCCTCTCAGACATGTCTACCCCAGAAGAGCCCCCCTGGGAATCCAAAGGGAGAGGAATCAATGACAGTGTCTTCACCTCTTGACCTCCGCTCCACCTCTCCTCCCACCTCTAACAGCCCAGAGGCAGGAACAACTAACCCATCTTTTAAAAAGAAAGGTTACGGAGGAGGAGCAGAATAACACAGTGAATCTGGAGTAAACTTGGCCGGGTTATATTAAAAAAAAAACCCCACCAGACTCACAACAGTATGTCGTCCATCTACATGTATATCGTCTTAGGCAAATAGGAATGACAGAATGTTTGATACAGATACCCTGAGCCGGTGTCTTCAGATTTAACATGCGCCGAATTCAAAGAAAATGCAAAGACGCAAGGTCAGCTCAACGGGCAAGATTAGTTTCGCTCGTTTCACTCACATTCGAACGTTTATCCTTTCCATATGCGGGAGGGAAAAAGATTATAATCTCAGCGAGATATGCCATCCTTGAACAAAATGGTTAATCCGACCTTAACCATTCCTCTGATCTGCTCATTTCTAATCCACTCCTGTCCCGGCCTCCTCCTTTGAGACACTGCCCTGTCTCCTAACTTCTAAAACGTTCTCCCGAATGTTAAATCTTTCCTTCAGAAAGAAGAATTATACTCATGGTCACAGAACAGGGGTGTCAAATATACAGCGCGCGGGCCCAAACTGGTTCAATCCGGCCCATTTCATGAGCTTTGAAGCAAAAAAAAAAAAGTGCGCAAACACTTCATGTTTGTGGTGTTTTGTCATAGTTATATTTCATTAAATATAAATATATTTTGCAATATATTTGTATTTATTTAAAGGAGAACAAAGACAGAGCGCTGTCATATAAGTTGAGATTTTTAAGTGTTTGACTTAAGCAGTGAAACGTCGCCCGTGTTCCCTGTTCATCATTCCTTTTGTAACACTGAACCCGCTGCTTTTTCGCCTCCTCACCAGGTCTCTGATCTGCATTCCGCTCACTGGTAGGTAAACAAAAGAACAATAACTAAAATCTAGCAGTCAACTATGCCACAGCGCGGCCGGTCATCGTGCCGGGACGCCTAATTTCAAGCTGTAAATAAATTAAAATTCCGTGTGACTGCAGTGCAAACATGCGCGGCTGTAATCCTCAGGGAAATCAGTGATCTCAGGTCAGTTATTAACTAAAGAGAGGCTGCAGAAAAGATCTGTCCACACTCATGATAGAGGGTGACTAATAGCTTAAATTTCCTGCAGCAGCTTCGGAACAATGCGTCACCAGAGCAGCTCAAAAAACAAACGAACAAAAGAGGCATCTGTGATTTTTTGTTTTGTTTTTTCTTTTTGTCGAATTTGTGCATTTGTGCGTCGAAGTAACTCAACCTGTGTCCCACAATGAACCCGTCCATTAAAATGCGCCCGCCGCAGAGAAGACAGAGCGCAACTGATGCAGAACTTCCCTGTGCTGCTCAGATTATTATGACTCATTAACCCAGGCTGAGTGTGCAGCTCTGAGACCTGGAGGCCAAACAGGGGTCTCACACAAAACAAATGAAAACACGCTAGCATTCAATAGGTTTCATCCAAAGTCTTTGCAGTGAGTAGAAGTTACGTCTTCAACAACCATGTGCACTTTATAGTGTATTCTAAGTGGGCCGGACCAGTACAACCATCACATAATTCCCTATAAATAACCTAATAAATAAACCCAACATGATGTGTTTGTGCATTTTTTTTCATTTTTCTTCCAGATTCATCAAGTGGGCCGAATTGAACCCCCTAGTGGACCGGTTTTGGCCTGCGGGCCGTATGTTTGACACCCCCTGTCCTAGATTATGCTACCACTGTGTCAGTGTACGTGAGTGACATACTGTAGGTACTTACAGTATGCACAGTATGTGAGTTTAGACCAGGCATGGGCAAACTGTTTGACTTGTGTCCTAAAATTGAACAGGAGGGGCGCCACCTATTGGGAAAATATGAGTATATAAATTTAGCGGGCCTTATTAAAAATCTGAAGGGGCCGCATCCGGGCCCCCGGGCCTTAGTTTGCCCATGCCTAGTTCAGACTGGTGGCGAAAATGGAGTTTTCAAGTCAAAGACTTATACTGACATACTACTATATTCACTATATATTTATAATATACAGTGACATATATATAGAAATGAATTTTTGTAATATCCACAAGTAATATTTGTAATATATATATATGATCTGATCACTGCGAATAACAGCACTGTGATATACCTGATATGAATATAAAAAGTAATATATTAATATATATATATATATATATATGATCTGATCACTGTGAATAACAACACTGTGATATACCTGATATGTATATAAAAAGTAATATATTAATATATATATATATTTATATATATAAAAACATATATTTCACTATATATATCTATATGTATATATATATAGACGTATATTGCCAGCGGTGTTCTTAGACAGGCTAGGGTCCCTGGGTAAATGATACAGTATATGGTCCAATGTCAGCCGTCTCTCAGGACCCTTCCAACTCGGGGCCCCAGGCGATTGCCTGTGTTGCCTGTCCGGTTGCAACAATGACTAAATAATCCATTATGTCAAGTATGGCACAATAATCTGTACGCCTTTTCAAATGCTGTATATTCCAAAGTTAACTTAAAGGTCCTATCTACTCACTCACTGAACTGGGTTAAGTGAGGACTGCATAGAATGACACAAAAAAAAAAACCATATAATTCATAAACCTGCCATCACCTCTCTCCGTCCACGTCTGTGTCTCTCTGAATGGGACACACCTCCTCATCATCCCTGGGACATAATCCTGCGCTCGTTGCCATGACAAACATTCAGCCAGAGAGGTTAATGAGGACCAGCTCCGACACAGGTGACACAAAAGCGACAGAGACAAACATTTCCATATAATGAGCAGTTCTGTGCAGACGAGTGGAACGGCGGTGAGTGAAAGCAAAAGCACCGGGGTCTCTGCTCAGAATGCTTTTAGGTTTTTAACTAATCTTTGAAAAAAGAACGTGAAGCGGGGATGTTTACGACAAAAAGATTCCTCCTGTAACAACTCAGAGTAGAGGCTGTGAGAATCTGATAAGAGGCGCAGAGATAGTTACAGACACAGGAAATGGGAGGAAAGAAGCACATAAAAGCCCAGGTGAGAGGCTTAGTGGTTGTTCAAAAGGAAACCCACACGAAACAAAACAAGGAAAAAAAAAAACAGATATGAAATCTGACAGAGCAGATTATCCCGACATCAAGGGGGTCAGGGAGAATGTCAAGACTGTCTTTGAGGACCAAACTCTGCTTCTGTAGCCAGATTTGGAACGGTTCATGGTGACAGGATTCAAGAGCAGCTACGACGGCGCGACGAACTCTACGTAAGTACCTACGTCACGCACCTATGCTAACACAGCGATAACATCATTAAGTGGTTATAAAGACATCGGACCTACTGCAAAAAAGTCCCAAAAAACAAAGACAGCGAATGTAGCACAATCCAATGTACGACGTACAACCGGCGAATGTAAACAAATACCTCTTGCGCAAATAGTTCCCCCGTGAGGACGTATTCGTCCGCTCTGCTCTCCAACTAGTTCCGGTCTGAAATTTGTTTTAACGCCATCAGTCGGAATAATGGAGTGTTCCAAAACTTTTTTTCTGGTCACCCATGTTCTAAAAGTCACAAACCTTTGCGGCCCACATGCGGGTCGTGACCCAGTCTTTGGGAAACAATGGAATAATGAAAGAATATAGTGTAATATAGTCTGTAATTTCTTGCAAAATAACATAACTATAACAATAGTAATGGTAATATTCAACTATATTGTAATATAGTAACTATAACAATAGTAATGGTAATATTAATAAAAATAATTGTAATTAATTTATTAGATAAACTATATTAATACTTATGACTAGATTACATTAGTATCTTAATTTCTTATATATCTTATATTTTTATATTTTATATGTCAAAAGGCTACTTCAAATAGAGCCTCCGAGAAAGTTTTGATTTCACCACTGTTTCCAGGCCAACAATAGGAAAAAAAAAGCTTGGTTGAAAACTCATGCATATCATTGTTTATACTTTCAGACAGTTTGAAGCCGCTGCTGGGTTTTTTCACCATGACGAAAATAGAGTGATGCCATGACATTAACTGGAGATGCACATTTGAGGAGTTACTTACAAAATGTTCTGAAAAACAGACAGACAACATTAAAAGAA